ATACATACATACAAGTGAAGCTAATAAAAGCGTATTAAAAATAAGACGGGTTTCCTTCCTGATGCTATAACTCCAGAACGCAAGAACCGATATCCACGACTTTGCATTCGCTGGAAATGTCTCGGGCTCGGTGAGGTTTATTCAGGAAAAGTTTCAACAGAAAAGCGGGAAAATCATTTTTATCATACAGTGCCATCTCTGATACATAGCATGTACTACAAACCAATATTTTAAGTAGATGGCGCCGGTGCGTGCACATTGCACAACGTCTGTTGTGCAAATTTTAATTCAATTTCAACAGCAGGCATTTGTCTTTAAGGTGGTAAGTTGAACTGTGTAAATTATGTGGATCGTGCATTTGTGGCTAAATTCACCATTCTGCCCATAGTCCAAAATGCCTAGAGGACGAGGTGCAAATATCGGCCAACGCACAACACTTGCGAATAAAGGCAAAATATAATAAGAGAAAATGTCCGATTGAGACAACTCGTGAGGACACGAAGACCATTGGCATCACACAATCGCTTTGCATTCCAATATGATCTCTGAAGTGGAAAAGTCAAACTGGATCCATTAATTACACCACCACAGCCACTAAAACCATTGTTCGATGGAAGTGATCCCGATTCCAGCCATTTTATTCAACACATCCTCGAATACAATAACTGCTTTCGCATGACTTCCTTTGAAGCTAATATCATTCGAGAAGGCGGCAATGTGCAATATACAGGGAACACAACAATTAAAGAGACGAATTATTGAACAGTGGCAAGCATTTTTTCACGCTAATAATGCTGCGGTTAATATGTTCAAAACAGCATTGGACCGAACATGTGCGAAAATTCAATGCACCCACAGTTAATGATGTTGCTGCAATTATTGTTGACGATCCAACTAAATCGCAAGACATTGCCGTTCAGCGAAGAAACAATATCATGCAATCGTGTTTATTACATTCTTATAAAAATAATAAAATTTATATTATTGTAGTTATTTTTTTAATTGGCCTAGACACCGCTTTCGCTTAACAATAGCGCGCCAGTCGTTTCTTCTTTTCGCTACGTGGCGCCAATTGGATATTCCAGGTCCGTCTCCACCTGGTCCATCCAACGGAGCGCAGGTCTTCCTTTTCTTCTGCTTCAACCGGTGGGTACAGCGTCGAATACTTTCAGATCTGGAGTGCTTTCGTCCATTCGGACCACATGACCATAAATCTTTCGTAGAACTTTTCTATCGCAAACTCGCATTGACTTTGCTTCTCAATTGCCTACTCAGTCCGAAGTAGCACCTGTTGCATCCAGGCTGACATTCTTATCTACGACTTCAAAGTTATTACTGTCAACAGTGACGTGAGAGCCAAGTCGCGAGTGCGACGACTGTTTGTTTGATGACAGGAGATATTTCGTCTAGCCCTCGTTTACTGGCAGACCCATTTGTTTTGGTTCCTTGTTCAGTCTGGAGAAAACAGAACTAACGGCGCGGGTGTTGAGGCCGATGCTATCAATATCATCGGTATACTCCAGCAGCTGTATACTCTTATAGAAAAAGGTACCTCTCTCTTTAGTTCTGCAGCTCGAATTATTTTCTCCAGAGGCAGGTTGAAGAAGTCGCACCTTAGGGAGTCACCTTGTCTGAAACCTCATTTGACATCGAACGGCTCGGAGAGGGCTTCCGCATTCTGATGGAGCTTTTGGTGTTGCTCAACGTCAGTCTACACAGCCGTATTAGTTTTGCGGGGATACCCAATTCAGACATCGCGACATAAAGGCAGCTCCTTTTCGTGCCGTCGAAAGCAGCTTTGAAATCGACAAAGAGGTGGTGTGTGTCGATTCTCCTTTCACGGATCTTTTCCATGATTTGGCGCATGGTGAATATCTGGACGGTTGTTGATTTGCTTATCCCAGAGCACACTTAAATTCCAATCGAGTTCGTCTTCTCCTGGAAAAGTGTTCCTTCCATAATTTAAGTATGCTCTGAGCATCGGTGACTAGATCCCCTTTGGGCGTTCTACAAGAGTATGCTCCGGTCTTGAAACTTTATGTAAGCCGCATTTTTTCGTAGAATTTCCGAGCATTACCTATGTCGGCCAGCTTATTAAGCTGTTCGTACTCACGCATTTCGGCCTCTTTCTTTTTCTGTCTTCAAATGCGTTTCGCTTCCTTCTCCAACTTAAACTCTCGAAGTAGACAGCCTATTTTCTTTTGGCTGCGACGCGGCATTAATTGTGGTACCAGCTGTTCTTTTGCACTTTCCGTTTGCAGCTGTACGTAAGGAGTTTAAAATGCCGTCCCACAGTTCCCTTATACCGAATTGTGCTCTCAGAGAGCAGGAGTGCAAGCCGAGTAGAAAATTATCCGGCTGTCTGTTGAACGTCGAACCTTCCTTGTATTTGTTGGCGTGCTTTGTTTGCTGCCAGAGGCGGGAGCGAATCTTGACTGCAAGAAGATAGTGGTTCGAGTCGATGTTAGGATCTCAGAGTGCACGCACATCTAAAACACTGGAGACGTGTCTTCCGTCTGTCACAACATGATCGGTCTGGTTGGTGGTTTTTCGATCCGGAGACAGCCAGGTAGCTTGATGAATCTTCTTATGCTAGAATCTAGTAATACAGGTAACAATATTTCGAGCCCCGGCGAGGTCGATCAGCCTCAACCCATTGGGGTATGCTTCCTTGTGGAGGCTGAATTTACCGACCATAGTTCCAAAGATACCTTCTTTGCCCACCCTGGGGTTTAAGTCGCCAAGCACGATTTTGATATCGTGGCGGGGGCAGCTCTCAGAGGTGCGCTCCAAGCACTCATAAAAGGGATCTGTGGTCACATCGTCCTTCTCTTCTGTCGGGGCGTGGGCGCAAATCTGCGATATGCGATATATGATAAAGAAAAAAATTCATACATTTTGTACATGTATGCATAGAACTTCTATTTTAAAAATGAAATTGGACTGGACTCACAATAATTTCCGCTAAGGGTCTTTCAGAGGGGTGAGATACTTATGTTTATATTATTTCTCTTCCTTCTCGTTTTATGCAGTGTGTAGCAGTCCTCCTCTCTGCTTTCCTGTTGGATTTGCCTCCCGTCCTTAATTTTCCTTGTTGTTATTTTCTTTATTTCCATTAAAACGCGCCCGCTCTTAGTTTTTGGTAAGCTTTTTGTTAGTTGTGTTTTAATTTGTTTCGCGCAGTTTATTATAATATATTTGCACTGTTACTATCTATGTACATACATATATAATATGAGTATCTTGTACTCTGTATTTTTATTTTTTTGGTAAAATTTTTTTTATAGGGGCCTTTCAAAGAGGCTCGAAGGACCATTTGTTTAGTTGTATTTCTTTTATTCACCCTGATGTCGGTGATATACTCACTTGCACTTGCACCTTGGATATTTACTAAAATCGCAATTCGCAATTTTTTTAAATAGTTCTCTTTCAAACGAATATATTTTATTTTTATTTCTTTATTTTTTTGTCCAATGCCTATTTAGATTCTTACAAAATGTACTTGTTCTTTATACAAAATTAACCAATTTGGTTTTCACTTAAACAATTTTAAAATTATTTATTTCACTATTGTTTCGCAGCGTTGCTTCGACGGACGTACCGATGGCGGTTTTCGATTGAGCCAAGGTGACTCCCTATCGTGCGTCAGCTTCAATCTGCTGCTGTAGAAAATATTTCGAGCTGAAGAACTTAATCCAGCAGGTACAATCTTTTATAAGAGTGTGCAGCTGATGACGTATACCGATGATATTGACATCCACCCCGTTGGAGGAGCAAGTGCAGAAGGACCTGGCTTCGTCTATTTTGGAACCAGTATAAACACCACCAACCCGGAAATTCAACGCAGGATAACTCTTGCCAATAAGTGCTACTTCGGACTGAGTAGGCAATTGAGAAGTACAGTCCTCTCTCGACGAAAAAAAATACAAACTCAATAAGTAACTCATAATTCCCGTCCTGCTATATGGTGCAGAGGTTCGATGGTGCGTGAAAAGTTCTGCGAAAGATTTATGGTCCTTTGCGCGTTGTCCTCGGCGAATATCACATTTGATGGAACGATGAGATTTATTAGTTTAGCGAACTGAAAGACAGCAGCTACGCTGGCTAGGTCATGTCCGAATGGACGAAAACACTCCAAAAGAAATTCCACTATAAAAGTATTCGACACTGTACCGGCCGGGTCTGGCAGAGGAAGGGGAAGACCTCCACTCCGTTGGAAGGACCAGATGGAGAAGTACCTGGCTACGCTTAGAATATCCAATTGGCGCCACGTAGCGAAGAGAAGATACGATTGTCGCGCTGCTGTTAACTTAGATATAATCGCGCAAGTGGTGTCTACGCCATTAAAGAAGAAGAAGATTTAATTCAAAGTATTTCTTTATTTCATTTTAAGTATTCAGTAGGGTAATCTGGCCGGTTTTTGTACTCTCGCAACAAAGTTGCTAAAGAGAGTATTATAGATTTGTTCACATAACGGTTGTTTGTAAGTCCTAAAACTAAAAGAGTCAGATATAGGGTTATATATGTGGAGTACTGGTTTATTAAGACACGTCTGGGCGACGTGGTAACCAAAATCCAACTGACATACTTAGCTTAGAACATAATATCTTATATGCTTATTTAGGTAACGGTGATCGACAAGCATCAGGTGATGCTGCTGTCAATATGTAATGATATTATTATAGCTTAATTAATGTATGTAAGAGGAAAGCAGTACTGTAATACACAGGATAACAATGTAAAGTAGAATGTAGGATGGTTAAGTTAAGTTGCACTAATATAAATGAACTTAGTATTAACCTGTGAATGCATGAATKAAATAAATTTAAAGATATGTTTAATGTGGGTGTCGCCACATATCTCCCCTGCGGGAAAAAAAGGAAAATTAGCAAGAATTTTTGTTTTGAATTATGAAGANTATGCTTATTTAGGTAACGGTGATCGACAAGCATCAGGTGATGCTGCTGTCAATATGTAATGATATTATTATAGCTTAATTAATGTATGTAAGAGGAAAGCAGTACTGTAATACACAGGATAACAATGTAAAGTAGAATGTAGGATGGTTAAGTTAAGTTGCACTAATATAAATGAACTTAGTATTAACCTGTGAATGCATGAATGAAATAAATTTAAAGATATGTTTAATGTGGGTGTCGCCACATATCTCCCCTGCGGGAAAAAAAGGAAAATTAGCAAGAATTTTTGTTTTGAATTATGAAGATATTTTGACTTCTATGTATTGTAGTAGAAAGATCAGGATTTGTGTTGCTGGCAGTTATGTTGCATAGGTTATATCCAGACGGATTGGATGGTTGATGCTCGATATCATCATTACAAARATAAGCTGGTTTTAGCCGATCGATGGATATGTGTGCAGGTTTTCCATATAATAGCACTTTGAAGTATTTTTCATATCTGTCCATAACTGGGAAGGGTCCATCATATGGTGATGAAAATTATTGTTTTACTTTGTCGTTTCGACTAAAACGTGCGTTGAATTCGCGAGATCCTTTGAAATGAAGATTTTCTCTCGGTTATGACGAGAAGCAGGCGTAGGCGTTAAATTTTGAAACGCTTTYCTTAGCGTTTTAACGAGTTCAGGTGCTTGGATTATTTTATTTGATGGTGTTAAAAACTCACCGGGGAGTCTGACTGGCTCACCAAAAACAATTTCTGCTGGTGTGGTTTGGACGTCTTCCTTGAATGCAGGTCACAGTCCTAAGAGAACTGCAGGGAGTGCATCGTACCAACTATCGTTGTGGCAGAGAAGAGATGATTTCAGTTGTCGATGAAAGCGTTCGATAAGTCCGTTTGATTGTGGGTGATAACTCGTTGTTCGTTGATGTTTAAAACCGAGGAGATCAGCAAGCTTTCTGAAAAGACTCGAATTGTCCTCCAAGGTCGGTTGTTATTCGAAGTGGGATTCCAAAGTAGGAAATCCAAGTTTGCATGAGTGCRTGTGCTACTCGGTCAACTGTGCCGTCAATAAGTGGAGCGGCTGCTGRATAGCGTGTGAATCGGTCGATTGTTGTGAGACATTGGGTGTGTCCTTTTGAAAGTGAAAGTGTCACCAAGTCTATGTGAGTATGCTCAAATCGACACGAAGGTGGCTGGAATGTTGCGATGGGTGAAATTGTATGACATGAAATTTTATTGCGTTGGCATTGAATGCATGCTTTGGTCCATGTGATGCAATCCTTGTTGATTGATGGCCAAACATATCTTTGTGTGATAAGGCGTCTTGTAGTTCGGCGGGTGTGAGACTGAATGAAGAGTCTCGAAGATTCGCCGTCTTAGTTGTTGTGGAACGAACGGACGTGCTGTACCCGTAGATATGTCGCAGTATATGTCCGTGGTATTGGTGTTGAATTTGCGTAACTCTAATGGTGTATTCGAGCTGTTGAGTAGTTGCTGAAGCTCTGCGTCGTTGGTTTGAGCGCATGCAAGTTCTTTGGATGTAACTGCTGTGTGAATGGCATCGACTCGAGATAAAGCGTCCGCACCGATATTGCTGGAACCGGATATGTGCCGTATATCGGTGGTAAACTGACGGATATAATCAAGTCGTCGAAATTGCCATGGTGAAGCGCGTTCGGGTTTCTGTTTGAATGCGTGCATTAARGGTTTGTGGTCTGTGTAGATTGCGATGTGTCGCCCCTCAAAAATATGACGAAAATATTTCACTGCTTCGTATACTGCGTTGAGTTCACGATCGTAGGTCGATCGTTTCTGAACAGATGGTGCAAGTTTGCGACTAAAGAATGCAAGCGRTTGSCAATGTTCGCCAATACGTTGCTGAAGCGCGGCACCAATTCCGCATTNAGATGCGTCTGAAAAGDTGGCCCACTCGGAATTGTTATCCGGGTGTGCCAAGAGTGTTGCGTTAGCAAGAGATTTCTTGCAGTTTGAAAATGCGTTTTSTAGCGATGTTGTCCAGTTTATTGGAGTTTTTCCGTTGATTTTAGGACCTTCGAGTAGCGTGTTGAGTGGCGCAAGTAAGTTTGCTGCGTTCTTAATAAATTTGCGGTAAAAATTGTTTGTACCAATGAAGTTGCGGAGCTTGGTGATTGTTGAAGGTCGAGAATAGTCGATGATGGCTTTGACTCGTTCCGCAAGTAGTTTTATTCCATGGGCGGAAATTGTATGCCCTAGAAACTCGATTTGTTTGAGACCTAGACATGTTTTTGTTGTGTTGATGACTAAGTCATATTGCTGAAGGCGTTGAAAAAAATGTTGTTTGCGTTCTGCTTCGTTGGCAGATGCGACCAATAGATCATCAATGTATGCGAAAACGAAAGGTAGATCTCGGGTTACCTCATCGATAAAGCGTTGAAAGGTCTGCGCTACATTTCGGAGTCCGAAGGTCATAAATGGGAACTCGAAAAGACCAAACGGTGTGATTATAGCCGTTTTGTGGACATCTTCTTTAGCTACTGGAATTTGATTGAAGGCACGAATAAGGTCGATGGTTGAATAGAAGGATGTACCATGTAAGTTTGCGGTGAAATCTTCTAAGYATCGAACTGGGTACCGATCTGGTATGGTACGTTCGTTGAGATCACGGTAATCGCCGCGTAGGCGCCATTCGCCACTATTTTTGGGCGCCACATGTAGAGGTGATGACCAAGGGCTGTCTGACGGTCTTGCAATGCCCAGTTTTATCATCTTTTGAAACTCATCTTTTGCGATGTTTAGTCGTTCGGAAGCTAATCGCCGAGCACGACTGCTGACTGGAACGCCAGGTGTTGTCTCAATATGATGTTGCGTTGTATGTGAAATTTGTTTAGGTTCACCATCGGGACGTGTAATCTTAGGATATTCGGTAAGCAGTTGTCAAAATCGTGATGATTGATTCGGCTGTTGGAGTTTGATCGACTGTACAGTCACGCTTTTAGTTGTACCTGAGGTGCACAGTCGTGTGGTTTCGTCGATGAGTCGTTGGTTTTTGAGGTCGACGAGGATGCCATAGTGTGAAAGTAAATCGGCGCCAATGATTGGATTGGATACATCTGCCAGTATGAAGCGCCATGTTAGCGCTCTGCGCCGTAAGTATTAACGGGTGTTCCGTTAACTGCGATGAGTTGGTAGCCGGTCGCCATC